ACACTGGTGACCCTAATGAAGTACGACCTGGTTATAAGCTAAGAGCCTCACCTGTACACATTACGTTCACCACTGCCCATGGGTATGTACCTCCTGGCTTCTTCATTCGTCTAGCAACCACTGTAGCTACAAATCCCATCATTGAGCTCAGTTTTGATAACATTTTTGCAGCACCTGCCATTCATTTAAAAGGTAAATGTAGCTATCGTAATCGTGTCAGCTTCTCTTATGGTCGTCCTTCTGATGATTTTGTTCTCACTGATATTAATGAAGCTATTCAAGTTGATGTGTTGAGATATGTCCCTGAGTGTAGTCATCCTCTTTCTTTCAAAGCAGTTTGTCAACAAATATTGAAGCTACTAGATGAATGCTGCCAAAAGGTAGAAGACACTCTTCATCATCGTCACTGTGCTGATCGATCATCAAGAATACAATACGTGTGTCAATGCAGTCCTTCCAGTGAAGTCCATTACATTAAAAACATTGATGCTGAGAAGCTGATATGCTCTGAGTTTGTTCACTGCAAAATGGAAAGTATTCCTCGCCGCCTAACCAGTAATGAGTCACTGTGGTTTAAAGAGGTATACAATAATTTATTTCTTTCACCATTTAACTCCCCCACACAGATCAGTGTACATGAGTCCAATGATGATCAACAAGAAGGTATAATCATTCACTGTCACTAGTTTTACATTATTTGTTTATAATAGTTACATGTATACTGACTATCAAGAATCTGGTAGATATCATACGAGTGTTAAAAAAGGGTAACTTTCAGAATCAAAAGTGGCGTAAACTTGGTCTCTACTTGGGTCTGATCCGCCCCGAATTGAAGACTATTGAGGAAGACTATCCACGAGATGCTGAGCAATGTCTTGAAGAATGTTTAGCAAAATGGCTTACAGAGGATACTAAAGCAACATGGAACAAACTTGCTATTGCTGTTGATGAAGCAGGAGAGACATCAGTTGCTGAATATATAAGTGAGATCATAATTAATTAAAAATAATGATAAATTGATTATTAATGATTAATAGGATCGAGAAGAGACCTTTACAAATGATAGTAGCATTAACATTTAAATAATTAAAATGTTTTGTAATTACTAGTGGTTTCTATTCTTTTTTATTGTTAGTTGCATCACATTATTATGCATAAAAATTTATTAAGTAATAATAATTGTTCGCTCTTTTAATTGTTTTGTTTCTTCAAGTTATTAATGGATGCTATTTAGCACAATGCTGGTGAATAAGGAAGCAGTTCCTGTCACAAGTAGTCAGTGTATATTGATATTTCCTGAATAGAGTCCAAATATACTTCCATAAAAGGAAAGACATCTTGGAAATGTTGACAGAATCTTGTCTACAGTACAAACACTACACTAACTAACCTTTAACAAAGCACATTATAATGATTCACTGCAGTAGTGGGTGGAAGTTCCATTTAAAAATATGTACATTACATTTACATGTATGTGTTCACAATATTCATATCTAGAGCTAAGATTAGTTCCACCCAATGGTAGATACTATTATGATATCACAGTCACTATATGATTTTATGATGATGTCATTAATTAGTTATGGTAGCTACAGCATTAAAGTATTCCAATAATAGAATATCAACAGAATGAAGTACATGTACATGTACAGGTAATGGAACTGACTGTACACATAACTGCATGTACATGTATCTATGAAGCTTGTCTCTTCCTATCTATTTCTCAGTCTCTCTCTTATAAAAATTACTCTCCAGCTGTAGAATGACCTGGTTGTGTATCATTGTCATTTACTACTAGTAATTTCTACTCCTCCATTCCACTGGATATCACTATGAGTGGATCTAACCTCTTGAGAAATGCAACAATTATAATAATAATAGTAATAATAATAATAATAATAATAATAATAATAATAATAATGTTATTAAAGCAATAAGACAAGCAAACAACACGAGTAGTTCCAAGAAAGAGAGAGAGAGAGGAAGAATGATAAAGAGTATATTATAATCACAATATCAAGT